CGCCCCTCGTCGAGCCGCGGTACTTCATCCTCCCCTGGGTCTTCTGGCGGCTCCTCATCCCGGCGTGGAAGGTCCACGAGCACGCGGTCACCCACCCTGTCCTCACAAAGCTCGAGGGTGTTCCGATCGTCGGCGCGCTGGTTCGATTCAGCAAGAAATTCGACGTCAGGCTGTTGTTGGAGACGTTGTGGTTCATCTCGGTCAACTTGGTGACAATGTACATCTTCGTCGCCAAGCCCTACAAGTGGAGAGACGAGAATGGGCGGATTCTCGATGGCGGCCGGATGCAGCGTTTCATGTGGTAGAGCACCACCTCTTTACCTTTCCCATGGCACATGTACAAAGAACGCGTAAATAAAGAGGCGAGTGGTGAGGTGAAAATTGTATTGTAATCTGTTCAGTGGTCTTGCCCAACTTGATGCTTTTCTCTTTTTGCGTAGCAATGTTTGCACTTTCATGTGTGCTCTAACCCTACGACGTAGGATTTGTTCGTCGTCGAAAACAACAAGAAATCATTAGCCCATCCGTAAACGCCGTCCCGAGGTCCCGAAATCCTCGGGGTGTTCAATGTCCCGAACTTTGTCGGTTTTGTTCGTTTAATGATGCCCTTGTCCCATGTCCGCCTATGTACCCAATGTCATGCCCACGTCGTCGTGTCCCTGTCATTCTCTGAATGTGTTTTCGTCGTCGTCATCATCCGCGTGTCGATTCTATAAGCTCAGTCGATCGAGACTCAAGCCATCGTTACTGCGCACCCTCCGTACGACGCCGAGCTTGAAGAACTTTTCCTCGCCGCCCGCTGTCCGCCCACCGATGTACCACTTGTCGGCACCCAGAACGTCACGGAACCCCTCGCTGCTGCTGTCACTTCCTCGTCGTCGGTTCGGGTGGCTTCCGGGGATCGGGATGCCGCCGCGGGGCGAGTGTAGCGGGTACTGGTTCACGACGCCTGACGTTGAACGCGTCGCGGAGTTGGCGGCGGCGGTGGCGTTGGCGCTACTTGATGATGCGGCATTTGAGGATATCGCACGCGGTGCCGAGGCGGCGGACTGTGTTGCGTAGGATGCTGAGGATGACGTCTGCGTGGAGTGCTTGTTCGGTTGCTGCGCGGACAGAGCGGTGGATTGGCGGAAGGAGGAGAAGAAGGTAGAGAGGAAGAAGGGGCGTTGGGAGGGCATCGTGGCTATCGTTGACTGTTCGCCCAGCCAAATGTCGATGATGGAGGAGGTGAGATGCGTGGTTGCTGAGCCCGTCTCCCCGTGCGTGCGTTGGTGCGCCGCGAGAAAAATCGGTCGAGGGGGGATTGAGGGGAGGGCACAAGAACGTTATTGTATTTTGACGTAAGTGCCTGGACGGGGAGGTTTCCGGTTCCAAACGATAAAATCAAAAACTCGATCGGGGGACCCCTATTCTTTCTTTCCCTTCTTGTTTTTGGCTCTGGAGCGTGTGGTAGTCGTCCGGGTTGCTGGGGGTTATGCTGTCATCCGTGCCCGTGCCGGGTTGGTCCTGGAGTAGAAAGTCCAAGCCTGCGCTCCAAGACGGTTTCGCACGGGAAAAGAAATGAGCAGCCGCGGGGGAAGCCGTTATTTGCGTGTTCAGTCGTCTGTCGAAGGGGTCGTGTTCTCCGAAGAATGTCAGTCCGGGGATGGCTCGCTGTCGTCGGTGATGTATGGCGGAGGTAGAAGTGGAAGAGGGAGCGAGTCGGTCGGTACTCGATCCCGTGGGCGGGATTTCGATCGCGGAGGAGTGTGGAAGCGAGTGATCGGCGGCAGAGAGTTGGCAGGCCGCAGATAGAGCGTAGGGCTTTTTGGGGGGAAGCGTGTGCGTGGGAGAGCGCAGCAGTTGTGCGGCGTGGTGTTTGGTGAGGTCGTGTCGTTCCGGCGTGAAGATCCGGGGAGGTGTGTGTGGTTATCGGGTGCAAGTTGGGTGAATAAATCCTGACGTCGACTCACTTGTGGCCCGCCAAACTGGATGATGGAGGGGGAGGCCCGGCTGGATGAGGAATGGCGATGGAAGGGCTGGCAAGGGGGTGAGAGGGCTTCCAAGTTCCAGCGGTCAGCGACAGGAGTCTCTCAGTGGTCGGTCGCGCAGGAGACACCGGAGTCTGGCTGTAGTCTGCATGCCCAGCGCACTCTTTGCTCCACGGCTTCCACGCAGCGCGGTTGCTGGCACGCAGTTGTTGGCACTCAGGGCGCATCCAGTGCCTCCCCCTTCCATTTCCCCCTCCATTCGGCCAATCCCGGAAGCGGACGAGACTGGCCAGTGCACCGTCTGGGGGCTCCGCAGTGAGTAATGACCAGGTCGCGATAGGTCAGGGCGGGGATTGGGGGAGGGGGGCGGTGGACATCCAGGTCACGTTGCCTGGTTTTGTGGGTACGTACCTCGCTAGCCCCGACCCGACTGCGACTGTGGAGATTCGGCTTCTGGGAAGGAGAAGTCGGGGAAAGGGCGCCCCTCGGTCGGGCTTTCCTTCGTCCTGGCCTGGTGTGACATTCACAAGCACCCAGCACCAATACCTCCCTCAGCTGCTTATCTTATCCGTCTTATCCTTATCCGAGGTCCATCGATCGATGCAGATGCACCCCAATGATGCCCAGCGCCCAGTGACAGAATGGAAGCCAGTGACATGATAACGATGCACCCCAAGACACAACAACCTGTGGGCTGCACTGCAACTGCGACCGCAACAAGAAACGTCTCCTCGTGCGTCTTCCCCAGATTCTTGGAATTTGCCTTTCTGCAGCTTGTGTCAGTCACTCATGTCGGTCCAACCTTCGTCTTGTCTAAAAGTCAGTCAAGTGTCTAGGCGTCTGCCTTCTTGACTTCGACTTTCTTTCGTCTCCCGCATCCGCGCCATCCCACACCACCTTCATCCACCACGAACATGCCTGGTCCCTGCCATCAACCATGATCTGATAATTCTCAGTCCTCTTGAATCATCTCGTGTTCTATTGGCCAGCCCGAGTAAGGCCCAGCAGCGCAGCGCAGATCTGGAACCGAAACGCCAGGAAGATGCGGCGGCACAGCTGTGCAACAAACCGTAGGATTGCAGCTGGCCTAGATAGTATGCAGCCACCTACGATTGTCAACCTCGTTTAACACGGTTGGTTGGCCGGGTGCCTTCTAGGTCCCGTTGGTTCGCATTGTCAACTCAACTGACAGCTCGCCCTGTTTGCTCCGTCCACAAGCCATCCGCCCAGCCTCTGGCGCTACCCGAGATGCGAGGTCATCACTGATCAAGGCTCGGCGGCACACCCAACATCATCCTTCTGCCGCCGCGCTTTGCGGCATTTGTGAACACAACCTGTGCATCGCGGCTCCGCTTCGCATTCCAACATGACGCTGCCTACTCACACCCACATCCTTGCACTAAACCGACGTCAGAACGACTTGTATCCCTCTGATACAGTCCTTCATTTAGTCCACATTATTGTGTTTGAAAGGATACCTTGCCCTACTACCTCGGCCTTCATTGGTCTCCTCGTCCGAAGTCACCCCTTACGGGAGAGCCTTAACCTCCTTAGCCCGCAGCTCCTCCCGCTTCCTTCGCAAGCTCGCAGGCGTTCCTCGGGCGTTCCTTCTCCACACTCAGGTACCACCAGATCGTTCCAACGTTGCGGTTTGTCCCGATGACATTAAAGGATTGCCCGCGAGCCACCATCGTATGACTTGCTTCCACCCAAGGCTTTCGACAGAACCCTCAGGTTGTCAGGTCCCGTTTAAACACCTTCCTTCAAGGCCGAGCAGCAGCCGGCCAACCGGGTCTCCTCCATTACAGACTTTGCGTCTGTATCGCCCGGTCCCTCCCCCTCGATCCCATCTCGACCTTGGGTGGTTTGGAAACTTGCGGGGTTTTGCGGGGTTGGCTTGCGTCTGGAGCAACCCACCATGCCGTCCGAGACTCCAGCACCCAGCGCCGAAGGACTCTCCGTTTGCCCGCCTCTTGGCGTTTCGCTTTGCCGTCTGAGATTATCGGCTGTCCGCGTCGAGTGAGGACTGCTGCCCGGCAAGTGCTTTTCGACGGCACAGGTCACTGACTTACGCCGACATGCTATTTCTGGCTTCAGATGATTTGCTCTAAGCCGCACAAACCGATCAAGGGTCATTCTCATCGGCTATACTCGCCGGTCATGAATTTCATTCGCATTGTGGAAGTCACTCTTTTCGTGGTCTCTCAAAGGACGACATTAATGAAGAGAGTTGCTTAAACATAGTACGAAAACATTTCACAATATGATTGGTGAAAGACCAATAACTATGCTCAAGGCAAGTTTATGTTTGTAGAAGGCAATTTGACAGTCTTCTTGAGGGTTCATGGACTGATTCAATTTGCATTGCTACGAAGGGTCTCGTGTAGGTGATTTCAATCCGTGTCGACTCTTAGCGTAGATATCAAGCTGAAAAACGAGCTATCGCTTGGGTGCCAGTCCTTGATGGTCATGAATGGTCTCATCAATTTCCAGCTTGTATCCGGCCAGGCAGGCAATCTCGACCTGCGGCGAAGCACACCATTTGAGATCTTCCACTACGGTGAGGGGCAGGCAGCAGTGCATCTTGACACCTGCTTGAATCAGAATAGGTCAAGCTACTGGGTTGGTGGTCAGCAAGCATCTGGAGACCTCAACCCAATCCTACACGGCTCAGTGAGACACCACGTACATATGAAATTTCGGTGAAGTGCCACATTGCCAGACGTCACTTCTGACTTCAGCTGATGAGAGCCTTGTGAGCCGTCCTGTGATGTCAACGAAACTAGCGCTTTACGTAGGGCAGGATATTTGCTGAGGCACCATCTTCAATCGCCACGAGCCTCATTAACCTCACGGCTCTCATTGTCTAACTCTCAGCCTCACCTTCCTGCACACAATTTCTCGGGGGTTCTATAAGCAATGTCTTGCTGCATCGGCTCTTAACAGCTGAAGATTCTTTTTCAAAGTTTCCCCCCAGCCCTACCTGGATTCATCACCCGCAAATCTCATCTCAGTACGACGCAAGACGCCATGGGAACTCAGCCTCAATCAAGACTGGCCATTGCCGGCGTCCTTTTAACTTTCCAGGCGCTTCTCTTTGTGTCACAGTATCTCGTCAGTTTGCAATATCACCGGAAGCGAAAGTTTCTCCCTGGACCTGCTGTCCTCCAGTCTCTGATATTCCCAATCTTTGTTGCCGTTTTGGGGATTATCCTCATCGCTGTCATGTTTCACGGCAACGATACCAATACCATGTTCAATGGCAACGATTCTAATAAAACTTGTAAGGCCGAGATCGACGATGATATTGCCGGGCCAGGCATTCGTGCTGCTGCATGGGCACAACTTGGAGTCTTACTCTTTCTGGCACTGGTTGGAATCTTCCACACCAAAACAACTGGAATCAAGGAGTTCGGAGCTAGTTTGACTATTACGCACCTCTCACTGGTCATCGCCCTTCTTTTCGAGCTACAGGATCTCAAGGCGACTGACGCCATCCTCGGCTCGATGATACTTGATTCTCAGAATAGCGCACTCTCAATTCCGCTGGTCACGAAGGCAACTCTGGCAGCCCGCTGGCAAGTCTGGACTATTGTGCCTTGCCAAGCATTTGGGTTGGCAGTTCTTGGAGTTTTGGTTCACAAATTCCACCAGAACCACTTCAAACTGGAAGCCTCCTGCAAGTGTGTGTCTGTTGTATGGTGGGGCCGGCTGCAAGTCGGAACGGAGAAACACTGCACTTCAGGCTCGGAACAGACGGTCTTCTGGCTATACTATGCCTGTAGAGTCTTGAGCGTCGCCCAGATTGGTTACCAAGCTCTCGTAGACACTGGTGCGTTTCACAAGGCGGAAAGGAAGGACAACTTGGTGAAGAGCAAAATGTTTCACCCACTGTCTGATAGCCACTCAGGTCTCAAAGAGTTCCTTCAGAAACTGCTGAGAATCAGTGGGAATACATGGAGGTTTACAGAATACCCGACGACTTTATCGCTCACATTTCTCGTGAGTGGGGTCTTTGCGGTGGCTTCCATGAGTGCAGCGGAGGCTGCGATGAAAAGAAGTTTTGGCCATCAGACAGATAAGTTTACACCCGGTCAAATCATCTCTGTGGTGGCTGCCATCATTGGTATTATCATAGGAGTTTGGAGGTTCATCCGTCTATTTCTAAAGTCGGAACAACCCTGTACACGACATGAAGGGAAATGGAGACGTTGGTTCCTCACCAGCTCGCTTACAAGCTCGTAATTTAATTACTTTCCAAGGCATTCTTAGCAGATTCACTTGTATGATTCAAGTCGCAAAGTGGAGTCTTCCACGATATGTTGCAGCTCCTGCATGCTGAGCTGTATCGTTGAATTGACCATCGTAGGCCGGGACTTCGTTCGTAATGTGCTTGTTGATCCCTCTTCTCTTATATATTATTGGTTTAAGACCTCAACCTAAAATAAAGCAGCAATCCATGGACAAGTCAGACAGAGTCAACCACAAATGCCGAACGGGCTACATCGTTAGAATGTGAAGTGCTATACTCAATGATATATTCGCCTTATAAGCTGGCGAAAAGGAATGATATTGCAGTATTAAATGATCAAGACGAAGCAGGCTGCTTAGCAAATTGAAATTTTGAACATCAAAAGAATGCCCCCCACATCCCGCCCTTGGGTAATGGAAAGATGTTAACGAGGACCCTTGTAGACCTACTTAGGTATTCAAGTCATAAGTTGAACGCGATCATTACATGTTCAAGTCTCAGCATTGTGCTTTTCCTGGAATTCTCCTTAGATTGAACCTTCCCCAAACTTCTCATCCCGGCAGCATGGCTCTAATACCGCCCCTGTGCTAAGAAGTTTTCTTCTTCGGATTGTCCTTTCGCGTTGTTACATTCAGCTTGTCCCAAAGCTTCAGATCTACAATATACATGACTTCGTCTAAAACCACCCATGGATAGCCCATCATGACAAATGCTCAAGGCAGATCCGCCTGAGCAAAAGCCAGGATCCTGTCCCGGATCTTGTGAGTGAGTTGAGCACTTCCTTCATCCATGCACAATGAAGCAATCACATTTACAATGTATACAGATCACACCCACGCTTGGGGCCTCAGGATGTTCGCACTGGCTCAATTTGCACTTTGAGCACTTCCTTCATCCATGCACAATGAAGCAATCACATTTACAATGTATACAGATCACACCCACGCTTGGGGCCTCAGGATGTTCGCACTGGCTCAATTTGCACTTTGAGCAATTGGCGTCTGAAAACAGATAGGTACTAAAAGATGGTGGGATCACGAGAGCGCAACAGCCTTTGGAGAGTAGTGAGAGTGTTGGCTGAGTCAAAAGTCCGTGCTCACCATGTATCATGCCATACGCCGTCTCAAGTTCAGTGTTTGGTGTTTCTAGCTGTTCTCCCCCCCAATTTGTGCGCAAACACCATCATTCCAACCACGCTTTTATAATAATTTCATAACATTCACCTGAAATTTTAACTCAGCTTAGCAAAGACACCGCTTTAGGCTGGTATTTGCTTTGTGCGGGCAGGCTCTTGAGGCAATTTTGAAGTGAGACTGTTACCAGGTCCATTACTTTGCTAGTTAATCTGCACAATAGGGGCAGCTTGAGGTTCTTGTCGTCTTTGAGTTTGAATGCTGAAGTGCTGGTCCAGAAGGCCGTAAAGACAACATTGAACAGGAAGATGGATATCATGTTGGGGACGTTGAGTTAGTACCGTGGAAAAGACCAAGAGACCGTGAATGGCGGATCAGGGAGGACATAGACCCCAATTACTGTCTGTTTCTGAATATTTTGTCCATTAACAGACCAAACAACCCATCCACGTGGCTAGACTCTGTGAAGAAAATGATTATATCACGTTTCTCAGATGGTTGCTACAGTGTGTATCGCCGCAAGACTGCACAAAGGGCCAGTTCCCAATGCTGTTAGCAGAGAGGTTTGCTATCTGGGTGGACACTTCCAGCTAGCCATGGAGCTACCTATATTAAGGTCCAGGAATGCTGTTGTCTTCCAGAAGACAAAGTAAAGAAAAACATTCAATGTTATGTCTTGTTTTCACCTCTCTTCGTCGCCTCTATTATCGCCGCCGTCGTATATCATAATTATCCATCTAGATACTGAGTAAAAGTCTAATAAAAACATCCAACTAGCTAGAAAGGAGCTTCTCAGCAAACATTCGCCACTATTGATTGGTGTTTTGGGATTGCCACAATCTGTCAGAGGCGTCGAGAGATCAAATCTTCTTCCCCTGTGGAGATCCGTTCGTCTCCTTCTAAATGGGACCTCATCAGTGGCTGGCCGGTCGACTCGCAGCGTTTCACATGTACACTTTTGTATTTTAGTACAACTGCTATACCACCAGACTGCGAGTGGAAAGATTGAGGACTCCTGAGTGCACCTTGGCAAAGATTCGAAACGAACCCAAATGGGGGCCCACATGCTCTCCAAACTCGCCCGGGGCTCACAAGGGTACATGGAGTAATGTCTTGATTTCAAAGCACACAGCTACGTGTTTCTAGCACGCAGGGTACACAGGAGATATTCCTTACCAAGGTTGCCCTCAAAACCACCTTGTGAAGTCACCTTTCGGGGTCGAGTTATACCCAGGCACATGTAATTTGTTTTCATTCAAAGCAAGAATCTGGAGACGCCGTCATCGGAGCGGTCTTGAGGGCGGGATTGTCTTAATCACAAAGCTCGTCGTGGTAGTGCAATGAGAGAAATAACCAGGTACTTCATCATGCGAGAATCGGTCGTCAAAGGGCAAAGATCAAAACCTTGATTGGAGAAATGATACCGCGGAGAAAACCTGGGGCAGAGATTGAAGCCACGAGAGCGTTATGATACGGTTATAGCTTACATGTAACGGATATTTGGACTACGTACCAACACTGATCGCTCCGACTTCGCGGAGCCAAATGCCGGTCCTGGATGTCAGGTACCGAAAGGGGCATATAATATCCCCATACATACCTACATGTACTGACAATCCTCTCTGCATCAAGATCCGCGGCTGCAGATCTCTTGGTCGCTTATGATTTCTTTTATAATATCTGGTCTGCCTTGAAATCGGATGGAGAATCTTGGAATGAACCGTTGGGTAGGGAACTCAGTCACGTAGTCTGGACATCAGATGATATCATTATCATCGCCGATTCGCAACATCATAACTCGGACGGGTCTTGCAACCCTTCCCCAACTTTTGAAATTCGTCAAGGCATTGCATCGGACAGATAACACCAAACAATCCGCATGACTTGTAACAACGCCGTACACCCAAAGGCACCATGCGGCCCTCTAGCCGGCGGGAGACTCGGGACGTCCGGAGACAGGGGAAGGCACTAGATGGTGAATCTGAGGGAGCGATGTGAATAATATGCGTAGGGCGGACCATAAAATAGACTAATCGTCCGAAAATCCCGAGTCCGAACCAGTGGAACCATGTCCCCATACATTTTTAAGACGGAGGCTATGAGCAACGAAACTCGAACTTCTTGGCCAAAACTCCCTCGAGCGACTCGAGTACGTCGTCATTTAACCCCTGACAAGCTAGACCCTTGTTCATCGCCGTGCCAAACAGCCCCCAAAGTCCGAACTCCTGGGTCGCAACGGCCTTTTTTAACTTTTTACTCTCCGTCTCCTGCGAACCCCCTCAAGACACCACACCATCTTTTTTCTCTTGGAGGGTGTCAGCTTTGTTGCACTGCGCCGCCCGCCTTTAGACTTTAGTCCCTAAAACATCAGACTGCGATCATGCCAAACACGACAACGAGTCAGAAATGGGAGCAGAAATCGTCGCAAGTGTACGGACAGATGCAGTCTGAAGTTTTGAACTCTATCTTCGGATGGCATGGGATAAGGCACAACACCATCGGAGGCTTCCGTCGGGTTGACATATATCTTGGCCGTAAGGCCGCGATGATTATCAAGGCTTGAACAGTTCATCACTTTCACTCTGACAACACGGTCTCAACTCTCTTTTTCGCTTCTTCCTTGCACATTCCTTTCTATTGCGCAGTGCCGGCCACTTGCTCTTTCTGCATCCGTTCGTTTCAAGGCCAAGAGTCTTTAATCAATCTACATTCTCTAGAGTTTCCCGAGACCCATAAAGAAACAAAATGAAGCCCACTTTCATTACCCTCGTTGGCCTGTTGGCCTCATCTGTTGCTGCTGGACCAGTTCCCGCCGAATTTGGCTCTGGCTTGTCGGTCAGAGGTAACGGTGGAAATGGAAACACTGGCAAGCAGTCTGGGGCCAAAGGTGGCAACAAAGGCGGCAACCAGGCCGGCGGTGCCAACAACAGCACGGCTAACGCTGGCGGTGCTACTGGTGGTGCTACTGGCGGCGCCGCGAAGGCGGGCAACACTACAGCGCTCGTCTTGCCTGATGGTCGTATCAAGCAAGATGCTACGCCTGAAAACTTCAACGTACTGGAGAGCGTTTTCAAGAGTGCCGTCGTCAAAGGAGATGGTAAGTGAGATGCAAATGAAAATTCAGAGCTGGGAGCTCATACGTGCAATAGGCCTTGTTTTCAGCGACGTCATCACTTTCCCTCAAGTAGAACCGTCTTTGGTAAGTCCTCGGATCTTGAGTCGCCCGGGAATCGTGCTCATACTTTCTAGTTTGACAAGTCAACCAACACCAAGGCCTTTGCCATTAACATCGACGACAAGTCCGTCTTCATCCCGAAGGGTGGCGAGGCACAGTCCAACATCCGCCGCGCCGATCTCCTGCCCAGTATCCGTTCGCAGTTGAACGATGTGGCCGTTACCGGTGTCCGCACTATGCATTTCTCTATCCAGCGCGATGCGGCCAAGCCTCTCAACGTGACTCACGACTATCAAGTAATGAACTTGGAGTCCAAGGACTTTAGCTTCCACCAGTTTGATGTCCGCACCGGAGCTGAGAACGGTAATGATATCGCCATCTTCGGCAACTCCAAGGCCACTGCCAAGCCTCAGAAGATCTTCTCTACACCCTTCGGCGAGGGAAAGTTTGAGAACTTTGCTATCAAGATGGATTTCACTGCCAAGTATGTTTCATTTGAGTTTACTGCGGTATGGGCGTGAGGGCTAACTCATTTGTACTAGCACCATGCAAGTCTTCCACAGCACCGGCACCGACCCCCTTAAGCAGGTTACGGAGCCTGTTCAGAATGGTTAGTAGTTTTTTGTTAGAAAGGATTGGCACCAAGCTGACTTCAATAGACATGGCCGGCCTCGGAGAGTACCAC